GCCGCATTTGAAGTCGCTCCCTAGCTCGGGGACGCGACCAGCGAAGGGCAACCGAAGTCCTCAGGGGGTCCCCGCCCCCCCCCCCGCCCCCCCTCATCCACATTAGATTGGTTGGTATTTCTTTTGGTGATAATAGCTAACGCCTGTCTGATCGTGCCATTTGTTGGACAATAGGATATTGGATACCATTGGTGTTCCAACCGACCCTAGCAATCATATCATTAATGGGACGGGGCCACTGACGAAGATGCTGGAAATGGGAACAGAACCAATAGATGTGATCGGTGGTTGGGCAGACCTCATCGTGACACAGCGCGCAATGGGTAGGTTTTTCAGCAGCGTGAGCCGCTGTACTCAAACCACCAGACAAGACAGCAGATTCATGACCGGTGACGTGCTGAGAAGACTGATGGATAGATTCGACGAGAGAAGAGGTAACAACGAGACCAGACTGTCGTGCCACCTGCGCATCATTGCGAGAACATTTGAGCCAATTCTCGAGACGCAGCATTCGCCAATGCGTGCGAAGATTGTGTGCAAGACGAGTGCACCACAAAGGGGGACAAGACGTATCCCACGACCCCAAGGACCAAGTGACCCGACCCGAATTATCAAACCGACAGAGGAGTTTGGACAAGGTGGTACGCAGAGACTTGATCAGAGGGGTGTTGTCATTCCAGGGGACATTATGGTGTTTTGACCGCCATTTGGTCAAAGCCACCAGTAAGTTTTGAGCGACAACGAACTGCAAGTCAGACCGATGACCCCACAGAAAGAACTTACGGAGATCAGTGGACGAGTGCAGGTGGGTGTAAGGATGATGAACAGCGACTTTGTACGCCCGATCCAGCATGACATTACTTGGAGAGAGGCCATTGGGAACCCAGCCCCAGGACGCTTTACTGGTCAAGACGAGAGAAGCAAGCAGTGCGCGAAACTTACGCGTGACAGGGAGCACACCGATGCGCCGAGCAATGGTAGCGAGACCATCAGCACGTTTAGTTTCATTCAGAGTAGGAGACCGAGGACACATGCCAAGAGAGACCCCAAGCACAGTCCCCACCCGAAGAGCCTCCCAACCCTGCTGTTTGAGAGATTCGTACGCATCCCCCGAGCGCGCGATGGGCTGGGTTTTGCGAGCATTAGTGCGCATGCGCGTAACATCCTCCAGCCGTTGCCAGAGGTGAAGTGCATTCGTGAGATCCTGCATGTTGCGCGCAAGGATAGTACGGTCGTCGATATACAACAAAGTTTTGGCACACGGGACGTGGCGAGTTTGGTACCGTTGGACAACAGACAAGACCAAGGACAACGCAATAGGAGACCAACCGTCACCCTGAGGAATGCCCTTAGAATTGACCAAAGGTTGAGGGTGAACCGTTCCATTAAAGCTACACCATCGTTTGTGATTATCCCATTGATAACGAATGAGGTTACAAATTTGCATGGGAACCCCAACCTGTTCCATGACATGGATCGGAAGGATGTAATCCATGGAGTCAAACGCTTTTTGGTAATCCAGGGCTAAACAGTAATCATAGTCCCCAAATTCTTGGTGCCAAGAAATAAGCAAATCCTGAACACTAGGTCCCCCAATACCCCCGGATTGATATGGAACCAGGAATTGAGTGAGGAAGTTTCTGAGATGGGTCAATCGGATACGGGTCCACATACGATAAAGAACACTCCCGATACAGATGGGTCTCATCTCAAGTGGGCCAGGCCACTGATTAGGCTTAGATTTTGGTAGAAATACGATTCTCCAATGAATCATACTGGATGGCCACACCCCTTTTGTTTCACACAAGGCATAGAGCTGAGCCAGTCGAATTAAGGCCGGTTGAGGAAGCTCAGCTATCCACCTAGCTTCCCATCCATCAGGCCCCGCAGCTTTGGAAGACATGTCCATGGCAGCTTTTTTGACATCACGACAATTGATAGTCGGCAAGTTAGGTGGATCCTGAGCATCCGGCATAGAATTCGGGAAATGGTTCACGAATGTTTGGACATCAACCTGGGGGGTGTTACAACCGAATGTCTCGCCCCAAGCCTGCGAGAGAAACTCCACAGCTTGAACAGGGGAGGTAACCACATTGCCACCACCAAGTTCAATGACCATGGGCTTGGGAGATTCGCGTTGTACCCACCTGCATGCCCCAGGGATGGTATGCACGAATTTCTTCCACTCAGAAACTCTTTGGTTCTTGGCGTTGGTCTGAATCAGACGTAAACGCTCAGTAACGAGTTTGATGGCCAGTCCCCACGCCCCGCGTTTGATGGCATCACGCTCAGCTTGAGGCACAGACCCATTGCAAATCAACCTGTTTCGCAGGGGTGTGGGAACTGGTCGTCCGTGGAGTTGTAGAAAATGAGCTTCCTGCAGTCTTCGCAACAACCTTCGGATTTGTCTTTCAGCAAGGCTCTGAAGGGATCCCATGCGGTGAGCTCCAGATAGCAGTTTGGGGCTATCAGCCAAGGTTTTTTCGGGACGTTGATCCTGCAAGAAACCAGATTTCACCAGCCATTGCTCGGCATCGGAAGCCCACATTTTAAAGGCCGTTTCGGGGTCTTTTAGAGCTTTGCTCCAGTGTTGATTCGAAACAGCAACATCATTCCACTCAACAGGCTCCGGAGAGTCCTGATGAGAGGTTTTTCGAGGCTTAGCGAACCGCATTAGCGGGCGGCCACACTTGGTCACACGGAGATTAAAGATGGTTTGAGCAGTAGAATGGTCTCCACCCATGCACGGCAGCTCCTGAGAAACAGCACCATGACACAAGTTCTCAGAAGCAAAAATGGCATCAATGGGGTGCTTACTAGCATTGTGTCTAGCCACCGCCATGCAGAGACCATTCTGGAGTTTGATTCGGTCAAAGATAGGATCAGAAACCACATTAAGATTACTATCCATAGCAAGAATCCACGAATTGGGGCAATCCCTCTCAAGAAAGTCAATGATGTTTAAAATACCTTCATTACCCTTATCAGAATGATGCCGATAATGAACCACAACATTGAAATCCCGTTGTTGCCCTTGAACACAACAAACAAGAGTCTGGTATTCCGGGGTAATGATTTTCTTTTGAATAGAGGTGACAAAAGGCAGCTGAACTGCCACGGCAACACCACCTCTATTGCCAGTGTTTGACTTCGGAGCATGGATCAGCTGCCACCCTTTGTTTCTGCAAACATGGTCAACCGAAACACACTGTTGTTTAGTAAGATTGGTTTCCTGAAACGCAACAAGATGGACACCATGGTGTGCAGCTTCATCCAGAAACATGAAACCATTCGTTCGGAATGATCTGCAGTTGACAGACCACATTTTAAGATTTCGGTCAATGGGACCAGGATTTTTGGCTTCGCCAACCCTGACCCCCCGCAACCCAGTTCTGGCCATAGAAGAGGAAGGTCCTTTGTCGCTGGCTTTACGCGCCTTCGGTCTGTTCGTTCTCAAGGGGCGCATGCCAAGAGCCTCCCTGGCTCTCTTTTTACACTGACCCCAAATGGTCTTTCTCTCATCTAATGGAGGAGGTGTATGTTCAGCTTTGCTGCATCCGTGACGTACAACGGCATCGCGAGAAACTTCCAGTCCACAAAGTTTGCACAAATGGAAAGCTTTGACACCGACCGATCCACTTTTTCTCCATGAAGACGGTTTGAGCTCGATATCATGGGAGCCAGGCCATCTGAGTTCACAGTACGCTTTGTGGTGTTGTTCCCAACGAGCATCAAGCGCTTCTTGAGCCTTGGGGATACGTTTAGGGAGAATACTGAGAGACTGGTTCTTTTGGGTGGTGAAATTATCCTTAGTGTCATGGACATTTTTGAGATGGTAATATTTGGTATTATACCGGAACATACCGGAACTTATCATCCCAAGTGACCTCAAACTGACATTGGGGGCATCTCCACCAAACTCCCGAAGCTTCACTTTGAGGGGCCATGGTGATTTTGGGAAGTTTAAGAGGAGGTTTTTCAGTCATTCGATTTTTCCACTGTTGTTGAATTTCGATCCTGGAAAGCTTTTTAGGGGGACCCGAGTCAAGACCAACCGGTGGTGATCCACTTGATGAGGAGGGTTCCCCTTCACTAGGCTTTTCCCCATATTCAGGAGGGTCTGCACTCCAAACTCTTTCGGGGGTGATAGGCCAAGCGCTAGAACAACTTTGAATAGACTTAGCAGGGGAAGCGGATATCCCAACAGAACTAATCCCGTTTTGTTCATCACACTTTCGTTTCCCTCTAATTCTTTTTAGGGGGGGTCGACCTTTAGGGAACCGCCGGGGGGGAGATCTAGCAGAATCATGCCCAACCCAGCTCTTATCAACCTTTTGTAATGATCCTTCCAGCCCCGGATGATGGGGCAAGGGCGTGTTAACCGAAGGCGTACCAGCGCCTGGCGCGGAGTTCCCCAAGGTTTGAGGGGGAGACACCGGGGCAGGAGACCTGACAGTAGCCACCGACGGGGTACCAACCGTACCAGGCACGCAAGACCCAGAAGCCATGGTGTGAACAGACGGGGTGGGACACGCGACGGAAGCGCGGGTAACCACAGATGGGGAAGAGGAGGGAAGCGACCTGCCCGCACCTCGAAGGTCAATGACCACATTGGGGGTTTCTTTTAACCAGTTGGAGGGGACCTTACCTTGATCGGGAGGGACCAAAATCTGATAGTGTTGATCCTTGAGTTGCAAACACAGAGGAACAGAATCCTTAGCAGCGCACGCCACGCCCGAACTGAACCTGGGGGCAACGACCATACGTGTCCAGACATTGGTTTTGTGAGACCAGATGACCACGGGGAGCCCGTACTTTTCGGAAAACGCCTGGAGAGCAGTACCTTCAACCCACGTACCAGACTTCGCGGTCTCTTCACACCATTCCTGAAATTTGTCTTCATTGGGGAAAATCTCAGAGAACCTTTTGTGATGTTTCCGGACATGTTCAACGACCTTGACACGGACGAACCTGCCTTGGATCTTCGCGGATTCCTCAGTGACCTTGGTCGGTTCTTTGGAAGTAGCAGTGCCGGCGCACCGGTAAAAGCAATCTCCCTCACCTCCCATATCCCTAAGAGACCAACCTTTGCCAATGGCATCATCAGGATCAGAGGGCGGGTAGAAAGACTTGGAAGGACTGAGCTTGGCTTTTTTGGCTGCCTGCCGGGTAGGATCAGGAGAAGGCGGGTCAGGGACCGTGGGGGCAACCGTTTGGGACATACCGGGTTGTCGACGGGGAGACCTGGATCCGTGACCTCGGGTACCTTGTTGATCATGAGTGTCCATTTGATCAGGAGCATTTTGGGAGGGGGCGGCCGCACGAGGGGTAACTGGGGTGTCGGCGGCAACTGCCCGATGGGCGTGACTACTAGACTTACTTCCAGTTCCCTCATTCTTCTTGGGCTCACCTGATCCCAAAAAAGCAGCTAAAGTCCTAGGAGGACGGAGTTGTTGTTTGTTGGTAGCAGATTTAGGTCTAGAAGCCATTTGAACTTCAATGAACCAATTGTCATCGATTTCAAATCTCCAGATGGATTGGGTAGACTGATCTTCGGGTGGTTGTCCCTTAAAGAACCAGATTTTTCCACTCTTATGAGAAGATTCAAGATGTTTCCAACCGTTATCCATCAAAAAGGCCTGAACATCATCGGGATTCCAAGCCCTAGGGATGCCAGAAACGGTGATATTCTTGATTTTTTGGGGATCTTCGTCATCAGCTTTTCGGGGGAAACCCAAACAATGACCTCTGCCAAAGCGATACAGAACAGGTTGAGAACGGGTCCCTTGGAGCTGCAACACCCTTTGATGATATGATTGAGGGGGTTCATTGTCATTTCTGTTGACCCAAAAAGGACGAGCTTGAGTGATTCGTGGTTCCCCAACTTTTGAGGCAAAAAGACCAAACTTCCCACTGTTGCTAACAAGATGATCAGCCAATGAGGGTTTGATTTTGAGGAATCCAATAACCTGAGTAATTCCAGAACGTGTTTCCTGAGACCAATTTCCCCCAGTAAAATCGGTGACCTTACCCTTAGTAGCCGTAGCAAGGGCTTGAATAACCGACACAGGAGTATCTTGGGAACAGTTTTCGGGGAGATAGGGGCTGCGAAATTCTGAAGGCGCACAAATCCTAACTCCGGTTCGTTCCACCTTGGGGAGTTTTTCTTGCGCGATCTTGGTGCTTTTGGGGATCCAGGGGGATTTCTTCTTGCTGACCTGAACAAGGGCCACGTGTTCAGTTTGCGGTCCATGGTTACCTCGGGTGGTGCTGATTCTGGTGTGAAGCACCGCAGGGTAATCCTTGGCGTTTCCGAAGAGAAGGGCGGTTAAGGGGGCGGGATCTTCAAAGCTTTTCCAAAGCAAAGAGAGTTCGTCCATTTCCTTACGCGTCCAAATTTCGGTGATGTTTCCTTCCACGGCGTCACCGTTTCGAAGTTGCTGTTTGATTTTGGGGAAGGGGATCAGCTTAGGCCTGGGGTCCTGATCCCAGTCTTCCAGACGCAAGGAGGTGATCCAAGTGCTGTTCCTTTCTTGCGGGCTTTTGGCGAGGGGAGGGGGGTCGGTAGGTTTGCGCGCTTCCGCATGGGCTGGTTTACGGGGCGCGGAACCTTGGGAACCTTGTTCGCCTTGTCCAGTAGAAACCCAAGTCCACCATCCATTTTGATCAATACGGTAGGGGTATCCTTTCCAGTACTTGATCTCATTGTTGGGGGTGGTTTTGTTTTTTTTGGGTTTTTTCCTTTTTTTGGATGGTTCCGGAACCATTTGCTGAAGGAAACCAAGCACGGAATCCAATGAATTGCCATGGTTAAGACACGTTTTGAGGGAGTTGATCAGTGTACGCATGACATTGTTGGTTTGTTTTCGCTGCTTGGCCCTGCGCTTGGCAGCGGCAGCACCAGCAGCCACCTTGAACAGGGAGGTTTTTTATCCACTGAATTTTCTGACTGGTGAACCTTTCCTCGGGTTGCGCGTGATCAAAATTGTCAGGGTTTTCAGTGATGTTGATGTGATTTTTCCGCTGTTGCCGCACAATGAACCTATCCTTGCGCGCATGAAGTCGGCGTTGGTGATACAAAACACTTCGCTTGTTACGTGTGAACATGCGCGCGTGTTTTTTGCGCGATCGAGCTACATACCTGCATTTCCTGGGTCCAAGGGGGAGGGGAGAAACCTTGGTCCTGGGGAAGCCTCTTTTAATTACGCGGGTATTCCTACGTCTTTTGCGCCGCGAACACCCCAGTTGCAACATAGTGAAACAAGCTATGAGATAAATGCCCCATAAGCTCCAAAAAGTTTTTTGAGGAGACATGTCCTTGGTCCACCTGCAAGCCAAAACGGCAATGTCCTCCAAGCCCCAGCTTTCGGACATGTCCTGCGGCAAGTGGTCAAAGTCCCCAATGTCCAAGCTCTTGAACGTGTTCGCCATAGCTCCCACCGCGGCCGAGCTGTTGGGAGCCCAGAGCGGGCTAATGTCGAAATGTGACGTGTTGTCACCGACCGAACGACGATCGAAGTCGAGAGACACAGACAAGGACACGGACGGTGACATGGACAGCAACAGCACAGCCAGCCAGCCTTTTGTCCGGCCGCAGTGGCCCCGCTCTTTGGCCCCTGCGGCCCGTCCACATTTTCCTTTTTCAACTGTCTTTTTCTTTTCTTTTGATTTACCTTGGTCGCAGTGACCTCGCTCTTTGGCCACTGTGGCCCGTCCACCTTTTTCCTTTTCATGTTCTTTTTCCTTTGTTTTTTTGATTTTTCATGGTCGCAGTGACCCCGCTCTTTGGCCATACTGGCTTTTATGTTGTTCCTAACCCTTTCGCACGCAATTCCAAGTTGCGCCCGCCAGCACCGCGTGGAGGTAGGTCTTCGCTGGCTAACCTCGCAACAGACCGCATTTGAAGTCGCTCCCTAGCTCCGGGATGCGACCAGCGAAGGGCGACCAAAGTCCTCAAGGGGGCCCCGCCCCCCCCGCCCCCCCCTCATCTAAATTAGATTGGCTAACGCCTGTCTGATACGTGCCATTTGTTGGACAATAGGATATTGGATACCATTGGTGTTCCAACCGACCCTAGCATATATACAAGCTCAACAGGACGACCCTGATGCCGACTGCGATTCCATGACCCTTATCAGCATCTGCTATGGCAAACAAACCATAGTATCCGAGGAACGCGGTCAGCGACAATCCGCTAGCGTGGATGGCATGGCTGGCTCTCCGTTTGATAGCGAGATCATCTTGAACGACGTTGAGCAGCCTAAGCACTTATTGGTCTACGACCTAGGTCTTGGCGATACAGATCAGGCCTTCCATTCACCATTGATGGCCATCGCCAACATGAGGGCAATTAAGAACTTCCGCATTTGAACGCCAGCAGCCGAATCACGGCGAAGAGGTCGATGGCAGGAAAAGAATCTTGGATACCTGCAAGCCCGCCAAGATCGCGAAGAAATTCGCCAGGAAAGACAGGACAGTGTCCCTCCATTGCGCAGAGACAACTTCCGCCCTGCGGAGTCACCTCATCCGAACAGAGAACAGTCAACGAGCCGAAAACGCGGCCGAGATCAGTCAACACCTCGAAGACCACGAACACCTACACTGACCAGAGCATCAACTCCTGCTCTTGGATCAGGTTCCACACGAGGCTCAACTCCTCCATGGAGAGAGTAACGCGGTCGACAGAGGCCCACAAGGGAGGAGAACCAGAAGCCGCACGGGCGATGGTTACTCCCGTGGAGCACACTGGACCATTTCAGGCCGTCAACATTATCGCGAGCCACCGTGATATCAACAGCAAGCTCGAAGCTCAGGAGCTGCCTGGCTGAACCAAGGGTATCAACAGCATTATGACCAGCAGCCTCCTCACGAACCGTATCAGAACCGACATCGCGGTCAGGAGTATTATCAGCAGCATATTATCGACGCAACCCACGTAACTCTTCCCTAGAGTATGTACAGGGGTATCAGGTGCCTTATGAGCAATGGCACAGAAATGCTGATGGCACCTGGCTCGACATGGTGCCTCAATCTCCTGAAGAATCAATCTTCTTTCATCAACCGACCTGGCAGAGATGACAGAACAAATTGCATCTTTACGGATACGCATGTCGAATGGGGCTCTGAGAACTAGCCGATTACCGGCAAAAACAGTCTCCTTAGCGGCATTTTTGAGAACATAATGAGCCGTTATCACGGCCGGCAGTAGCATTTTCATTTTGTCTACGGACACGTTTCGCAGCAGAGCATAAGCTGAGCCTTTCTTATGCAAGAACAAAAAGTTTTGCTGCATTTTACGACACGAAGAAAACTTGTGTTTCTTTGTAAACTTTGTAACAGTTTTGGGGACGTGTCTACACAATGCATACAGTTTGCATGACATGTGACATGTTCACCTTAATTCATCATCCACTGCGCAACTCAAGTCTTGCTAGCATAGCTATAAAAAGAGTGCTGCGCTCCGACTGTTGACCGCAAGTGTTCATAGCTGTTTAGCTTAGGTCCAGGGCCCCTTCAATACCGGGGATTGCTACCTCACCCCCCCCAAACCCACCCTTACAAAACACTGCGGGCAGTGGTAAAAAAGATTCAAGAACACCTACTGACTTGGGGTTCCGCAATGGCGCACGTTTTCACCAGATCGGAGCCACCAGCGACCAACAACCAACAACCAACAACCACAACCACAACCACAACCACAGCCACAACCACAACCACAACAACAACAGCAGCAACAACAACAACATCATCAACAACAACATCAACAACATCACATCTGATTTTTGAAGGGGGCCCGGAACTCCTTGCATGTACGACTTCTCTCTGGCGGGGGCATTTGATGTTTGTCTGTTGGTTTCCTTTTGGGCTCGCATTCTCGTCTAGTTCAATGCATAACAATGGAACCTGCCACGTGATCTGCTGCATATGATGCAGACAAACGTCCGCGGGGGTACGACCTGCTTTCAGCGCCCTCTATAGTGTTCATCCTCGTAGATTCTCGCGATTTCTCTTGGGGCTTCAAGGGTGCGTAATTAAATTGCCAACATTGCGTTGGTTTGCGACCAGTTGCTACCTTCTTCCTTGTTTTTTTGCTGTGCCCAGCTTGAGTACACCCCGGCTTCGCCCCAAGTGCTAGCTTAATCTACTTTGCCATGCTTTCGTTCGTTTTTTGGGTGGTCACAAGTAGCTCTTCTTGATTTTTCTTGCCCCCTGGCAACCCAGATGAAGAAATCAATTCCTGACCTGACCCTGCAAATGCTGTCTTGCGCATGGCGGGCACATGCCCGCAAATCCCTGAGCTGACGCGCTTCCATTGCGAGGCAGCAAGAGGGTTCGCACCAAGGCGCATGTCATTTTCATGCCTCAAGTTCATATATTTGGTAGACCTGGTAGGCTTGCAGATGCTTTTCTGATCGTGTTTTGTTACCTCGGATATATTGGTTGAAGCCTGGGGATTAGGGCACGCACAGGGGTGTGAATTTGTTGCGCGTGGTGCCGCGTTGGCCTTCCTCATCCTGAACTGTTTTCTGCGCAGTTTGGCAGCTCAGTCGCAGGCGATGGGACAGTAGCAGCTTCTGACTCACCAGCAGAAGAGGCCATAATGCTTGCTTCGGCGTTGGCAGTAGATTTGCAGCCCACGGCCAGCGGCCAGCTGTCAGGCTACTACTGCAGCAGCTGCTGCAAAGATTGTGTCTCCCTTTGATTTGGCGCGCTTGCTGTGGTAGTAGATTCCGCAAGTCAGCATGAGTCACGTTGTTGTGATTTCCAGGCCAGCAATGCCACTGTAGGGGCGGCCTTCGGCGCTCCAGCAGTACAGGTAGTGCGGGGCGGCTCCTTGGCAAAGCGATCTTTTGCATGTCTAAACTTATTCTAAACTTTTTTTTTGCAATTTCTGTGCCAACCCTGGTCGGCCTTGTGCTCATTGGGCGGCAAGTTCCTCAGGCGCGCCAGAAACGCTGTCTCACAAGCATCGGCGTCTGAGAAGAAGAAGAAGGAGACGCGAGCCATCTGCTTCCGAGGACAGATCATGGGGAGAGAGCGGGAGAATGAACAAAATCAGTCTTGCTTTGGCCAGCAGGATGACCAATTTCGAAGAGCACACGCCCGACACGAGGCACCCACCATCCTGCGAGCAGTGGGTGTTGCATGTAGCTGCACAAGGTTGCATGCTTCCGCTTGCGGCCTGACTGTGGTTTAAGGTGCTGCATCCTGCTGGGCCGGCCGCCCTATCCTCAAGATCTTGTTCAACCTGCATGTCGCAAAAGCAGAACTGAAATACCATGTTTGCCACGTGCCGTCAAGCCCAAGTGTCATGGGTAGACCGAATTTTCCGAGAGATAGGCCAACAGGTGGACAGACAGAAAGACAGATGAATAGTAAGCACATGGACGGGCAGTTAGATGCACAGGCATATAGATAGATAGACGGCTGGATAGACAAATCGCTTGAAAGACATAGAGTGACGGACAAATACGGAGAGGGATGCCGCAGATAAGAAGATAGACAAATGGGCAGAAGAAAGGTAGGCAGATGGACAGGTGATGGAAAGCTGACCAGTGACACACTTGTTTCACAGTCGGTGTCTTGAGGCCTGGCAAGCAGATTGGTTTGCTCATTCGACGGTTCCAGTGTTCCAGACGCCCCAGCACTTCCCATTTTTTGCCTCCTCTCAGCACCCGCGCCCTCTCTTTGAGATGTCAGCGCCACCACAACTCACCCAGCACGCAGATCTACCCGACAGGAACATTGAAAATGACATACTTAGTGAACGATTGAAACAACCGCCGGACCGGGAAAGCGGAAGGGAGAGGACGGTTGCAGGGACAGGCCTGCGTGGGACGGAGCCTCCGGAGTCTGCAGGTGCCAGTGCTTCCAAGCCCGATGCCCCCGCAGCACAGGAAGGCGATGAGGATTCAGACGAAGTGCCGTCAATCGTGCCAGCTCCCCCAATTCCGGAAGCGCCAGCAGCAAAAACAAAGGCAGCCAAGGCACAAAGCAGAGAGAAACGGCCCAAAGCTGCCGCCAAAAAATCCGCAGCGATGCCACCAAGCCTAAGAAGAGCCCAAGGACTTGAAAGACCAAAAACAAACATGCGGACGGTGATGGGTGATTTGGAAGCAGTGTTGAGGAATACCAGGTAGATTTTGCATGTTCTTGCCAAGTTTCAATAATCATTGAAAGCTTGCATCCCAACAGGTTTCAACTTCTTGGCCTGCCCTTGCTGCTTGCAGGAAGTGTTGAAAGAGCATGCGACGCTTGTTTTGTAAGGAAGCCAGTTTGGTTTATAGGGACGTATGTTTTCCGCGCAGCCGGGTGCTGAAGTATGGGGATGTGTTTTATTAAGTTGTGTGGCTAAGGATAATGACTGGGACGCTGGCGACGGCGACCTGCAAATGGGTTTGCAAGCAGCCCTAGGCGGGAGGTGGCATGGGGAAGTGCTTCTGACCGTCGTTCGCAGAAAAGCATGCCTTGCATTAGAGGGGGCCGTCCTCACCCAATAAAGTTCCTGCCTTCAATCACGCTGAGCCCGCAAAGGCTCAGACCCCAACGCGGAATGTTCATTTACGATCATTTACGCCTTTTTTCTCGCCAGCCGAAGTTTTGAAGACAAACTCTGAGGTTACGGGTCGTTTTACACATGCTTCGCATCCGCCCAACCTGAGGTTCACTTATTTTAACGCCCGCCCGGCCGCACCTCACAGCCTTCGCCTTTACATCCGGTCCACTTCACACACACTTGCTCAGAAACTTCTTATCGAATTACTGATGTGGAATGCATCGCACGTGCAAAAAACACTTCAGTTACACCTGACAGGAATGGGTTGATGATTGGAAGTGAGAAAATGTGCGAAGGAAATCTTTCTACGTCCTTGCTCGAAGGATTTACCAGTTCTGATGCAACTCAGTCAGATTGCGAAAACCGTACAATAGTTTGGTTTGAAAAAGGTTTGAAAAACGACATGCCGGTTCTTGGCTTGGCCGGTTGCCATTGACAACGAAATGAGAAATGGCAGGTACGTGACAAAGGCGTCCCTTCGTCATATCACAGCAAATGATGAAGCGTCTTCGTTGAGTGGTGACTTCATCATTGCTCACCACTCCCCTGCGTAAACATTGAAAAACAAATTCATGAAGAGTTGAATCAAGCAAGTAGTGCACCAAAACCGGATAGAAGTTTTACATCTATTCAGATGGTCCACACACACGCCTCGCTGCCGCGAGGCTACTTTTTGCCATGTGCGGAATGGTTCGGAAAGCTCTTCTTGGTGCCCTGAAGCTGGATGTAGCGATTAACGCAAGATCAAAATACAGGGAAGAAATCAGCTGCTGAATTATTCCTACAGCTCAGAACGCCTCGATGTGCTGGTTCAATCGCTGATGTCGGAAAGTGCCTCCATTCGAAGGGCTTGATCTGACAATGTGCGAGTAGATTCTGCCAGATGACTGGCAAGGTGAGCCAAGTCTGCTGCCGAGAAGATCTGGACCGGATGTCTTGTCAGGTCATCATCTGGATCCTCGAGTCGTTCGAGTATTGCCATGTTGGCATCCGGGCTCGTTGAGCCCGAACCTAGGAAAGGACTATTCTCGGGGCATCCCTGTCACTGTTGAGAACGTTCCAGAAGAAGGTTGCCAGTTGTTGAATCTGGACAGGTGGCGGAGTAATGTCAACATTGGCGGCAATGGAGTCTGTATCATCCATGCCGGATCCTTGTAAGGATACTGGGCTTTCTTGAGCGTCATGGTGATATGGATGCCAATTTCCATCCGGGGGCATTTCTGGAATTTGGAAATAACGTCGCCAGTAGTTGGCAAGTTGGGTGGATTGATCCCAAGAGTCAATCCAACCGTTTCTACCAGCGCGTATGTGGTCGATGATCCCATTGAAGAAGAACTCCGGCTGCCTGTTGCGATGGACCCCGCGTCGATCCACTTCCGTCACCATAAGTCGGCGAAGTGCCGGTTGGGAAGTGTCATCGTGAGGTGTTTGAACCTCGACGAAGTAATATGCATGAAGTTGACGACGGGTTTCTGCCAATTCCATCTGGAGGGGGTAGGCTTCTTCTTCGAGTCTTGGAAGGATTGGAGTCTGGTGATCGGCAGGAGCTGGGATGGGTGTGGCCGTGTCTGCAGTCGAGTATCCAAAATGGGATGGATGATCATTTGATCCTGCAGGTAGGAGGGATGGCCCAGCATCAGAGGCTGTGGGATCAGTGGCACTGCGAGAAGGCGTAAAAGGGTCAGAAGGTGCAGCAGTGCTACTGGGATGTCCATGACTGCGAGATCGCCATGAATGACGACGTGGCATACTCATCGAAGATGAAGGGTACGTGAAGCCGGCAATCAGGGAGTCACGTTTGGTCATGGTACAGCTGGAGCCAAGGGCTGAAAGGAGCAAAAAGGTTGGGAACATTAAGGAAATGAAACCAAGGACAAAAACACGAACAGAAAACCAAAAACAAGCCAGCGGATGCAAATGGAACTTTTTGGACCGTCTCATGGTAGCATATTGCGGTTGGGAAGGGCTTCATGGCAGCTCATGCGCATGATATAAGGTTGAAGGTGAGATGTAAAAGGTCGAATATCATTGGGAAATAAAATGCCCAGTTCTTGGCCTTCAGTCCAGTGAGGACGAGAATCATGAAGAAGGTCAACAAGTCGATTTTCGATGCGAAGAGCAAAGGTATCTCCAGTTTCGTCTTGCCATCGGATATCCATGGAAGACGGGGTAAGTAGTGATCCCACGTGTACCAGATGTGCTGACTGATGCAATAGAGAAGGTTGTACACCGTGAAGGATTCGAGACGGTGAGTATTGAGTAAGACATTGTAAGTGAACAGGGCTCTTTCTTCCACCCTGCTTAAGGCCGGTGAAACATCGCATGTCGTGGCATCCATGACGTCATCATGGGTCTTGTTCATAAGTGGACGGACAGATTGAAGATCCACAATCGCCAGTACTTTCCGGAGACGAGGCGCAGGAGGTACCTCAGGTCTTGGATCA